GACAGAATATGTGCTTCGAAGGTCAACCATCAACAATTCTGTGGACAAAGCAATCTGCGTCTGAGATAGATTATTTATGGACCCTAAGCTGTTTATATAGATAATGCTTTATCCAATATTCATCTGGATGAACTTAACTTGGAATATGAACATTCGTTGAATTTGCTTTATTTTTCACATGACTTTGTGAATAATTCTTTAGGGCAAGAGCATAATTCCATGATTATCCAACTCTACTTTGATTAATAAATTTTCAAATCCTGCTTTAAACTTTTTTTTTTTTTTTACTTCACTATTTATTTTGCTAAATGGGCAAAGTCTTGAAAGGCAAAAGGGGGCCACACGCACAGGTTCTTTACGCATATAATCAATAAAAGAAAGCATTCATGGAATCTAATGCTTAAACATGAAACAGCTGAAAGTTATTTCTATATAATAAAAGCAATTGCATCTTTTAAGAGAGAGGAATTTGAACTCGGGTGCAGAATAGGGAGCACATCCATTCTAGCAAACTTGGCTAAGCCTGTATATTTTGGGGAATAAATTTGATAACTCGAGCACTGTTTGCAAACCATGCAAAAGACTATCTTAACTGCCAATTTTATGTGTCTAAGGGTTGGTGCTTTACATTGTAAAGTCGCTTGCAAATGCTAAAAGAAGATGCACAATAGCACTAATTGTGCTATCTTGTCTCATTGGCTTTGTGTTAAAGCATGGATGCCTTTGATAAAGAAAAAAAAAATGATATGATTGGTTGGGAAGGCATCACTTGTGAGCTCATTGTCTTTGATGCTAACATAATATCGCATACTTGACAAGAGACCTTTATCTCCTTCCATATGCTCCCCAATTTTGTTTTGACATTATTTAATTCAAGAATAAACTCAATAAGGAAAGTTTCATGATGGTGTCGAAATTTCAAATTTTCAACACCATTCACGACATGGAAGATGCTTCATCATCCTTTTTGCGTAGGCAAAATACATACAATATCAGTTCTCAGAGTATATAGCATGATTCTCATCTTTTTATTGTTGTTGTTGCAAAATTGTCCTACAAAACGAGGCTCCACGCTTTTGTTTTTATTATTATTATCATTATTATTTTAAAAACAGAAGATATGATATAATTGAGGAAAGAAGTACAATTCGAAACAGATAAGCACAGACGAAGAGGATTGTGTGAACATCTCTATACATGAGGGATTGATCATCATCAGTCTAACCAAGTAACTTACTCTCTCCACTAAGAAGTGATTAGAGGGAACTACAAATCCTCAAAAAGTACACATTAATGATAGTTGGAGGGTCTAATGTTCAAAGAAAATCTTGCAAGGTGATTTGTCACACTATTAGCTGTGCAGTGAATATGAGTAAAATCATCCCCAGTAATAGTGTTTTTCCCCAAAGACCAACTAAATAATTAATTATCGAAAGATGAAGACCTAAGTGGCGAGACGATGTGGAGAGCCACACTCTCAAAGCTTCCTCCACTCATTAAAATTTCAAAATTCCATCATTGTTGTCTTCCTTAGGGACACTAGTGACCAGTGAGATAGAGAAGCATTAAGAACATCTGCCAAGCCTCAATTATTTGTATACAATCAGTCGCTTTCGTAGTACATAACAAATGGCTTTATCATTGTCTTCAAGTTAAAGAGAAAGTTTTGGATTGAACTCTTTAATACATTGAAAATGTAATAAAAGAGTGCCTTATTTGTGGATGCGAAGATTATTAGCATTCAATTCTGATAGGGAGATGCCTAACTAACTATTGGTTTAGTTTATTTTCTCTTGACTTTATATATAGAAAAAGGTATCGACTTGGAATTTTTCTACCCAGTAATCGTAGGGTTAGCATTTGAAGGCCTATTGACAGTCTATCACACCTAATTTTTGGGTCAAGCTTGAGATGTTTCTTTTGGGACATGGAAGTAGTACTCACCAATACTTTGGTTCATATATTTTTAACTTGAAAATACAGGATTAAATTATTGTCTTCGTGTGAGTTAGCTAAAGTTACAATGCACATACAAATATATATACTACAACTTAAAGGTATTGTTCCTTTTAATTTCATTATTATCACCATATATATATATATAACCTCGAAGAATTATATTTTAGACAAGTGAAAGTCCCAATCTTCCTTGTCACTAGGTCTTTCGTATGCTATTTCTTATTCAATCTAGTGTATAATATTGCGCATTATAAATTAGGATAACTAAATTGGCACAATGTCATGTTTGAATGTATATATGATTCTCATTCACAGTATATAAATGTATCATTCTAGTATATGTATATCGTTTGATGCGCATGATTGGATTGTTCTTAATATAATAAATTATATTAGATTTCATTAAAATTGAATAGAACATTGCTATTTTGTGTTTAATTATGATATCTCAGAGCTTGAGGGTCAAGGTCGAGGTTTATTTTCATGTGTAGGGTTATTGAGCTGGCTACAACGAGGCAATGTCCTCAACTTCTTTCATGGTATAGAGTTAGTTTATCCACGTCGGAAGCTTAACGATTGCATGTTCTTCATCCAACATGATTTTACCAATCTTCATCTAACATGATTTTACCTATCTACTTATATTATATTATGTGTATTTATATATTAATATTTAATAATATACCCTAAATCTATGACATATCAACTAATCTGTATGACATATCAACTAATCGGTAACACTGCGTAATGATATAACGGTCATATTAAGATGGTGACGTGTTATGTTATCATTGGTACTCTCAAAAAGCTTTGAGCACGCTTAATAACCAAAACGTTTTGCGCCATACAATATTGAACACGTGGAGAAGCGAGCTTGCCGACACCATTGAACTTACAGCAAGCTTAACAAAGTCAAAGAACTCTGTCGGAATTCAGAATTTCTCATTGAATTTTAATACTGCTAATTTACAAAAAAAAAATTAGGCAAAAAGTTGTTCATATAAATTCAAACAATCAAACCGCCCTCCCCACGGATTTTATTGGACTTTCTGTTCACAAGAAGAAGAAAAAGAACCACATATAGACCCCGACAAAACAGAAATGATGAAACTTACAAAAAGATTAAACACAAAAAGTCCAAGAACATGGTAGAATTGTAACACGTGTTATATTCCCATTCAACGATGTATTCTTCTGGTCAGCCGTTCAACTTGGTACTAGTATGGATTCTAAAACCATAGGATTAGAACTTTACAAAACATGTGTACCTAACAATCCAGGCATTATCTAGAGAAGTAACAAACACACACGGGTGATCTAGTGTAGCGTATTTGTAGTTTAAGTAGTTAAGAGTGTAATTCATGCACTTAAAGTCTAGTGTTTGATGTGAGATAAATGCAGAACGTGCTTTTCATAATCGTTGATCAACTCTAGCTTTGATTCCACCTAACACTTTTCTATGGTAGAGAAGATTTCTTTTTCTTAATTGAAGTTCATTTGAATTTAAAACATTCTTAAGGAAGTGTTATTATGTTAGAACAATACTTGTATCAATAAAAGTGTAGAACTTGATCTTCCCTTATATTCATTCATATGATCATTATACAATATACCGTTACAACAAGTCATTATTATAAATATAAATATGGAGTTATTGCCTAATAACAACGTAATTGATAAGTGACCATTTCATATCATTAGTAAGATTAACTATTGTAACTCCTTAATAAAAAGTATGAAGTAGTTGGTGTCCTACTAGTGCAGTGATAAGGAGCTTTGTCTTCATCCAACTGATCCTGAGTTCGAGGCCTGACATTGTAAAATGGGTGTGATTTTGCACCCCTTCCCCCTCCCTAACTATTGGTAAAATTAAATAATAAAAAAACCGTGGAGTTTTCGTATAACTAACATCCAAATACCGAAATTAAAGAATCATTATGTGATAAACTTATTTAATTTTTAGAATGAAATGATATATGCTATGCTATTGCCACCTCCATTTCCTCACACCCAGGTTTTATAATATATTTTTACGAGTTTACTCTTACGTATACAAGTTGACTAGTGCATAAAATTACTATAAACTGCCACCATTGGTTGGCCTCTAGCATCCTTCTTGGATTGGATGTGATCAATAAGAATATAAGAGGGGGCCAAACAATTGGCTTTGCCTTTCTGGGCTGCTGCTCCCACCCACGGTTATGGCCATTAATAATTGGCAATTAAATATAAGAATATTGGTAATTAACGTTTAGGGCTTTTTTTAGATGAAAAATAATTTTGGGTTTAGTTTAGTAGTAGTTTATGGAGCTTAATTGTTAATTGAATCCACATATTATCCATCATTTTGAGTTAGTCTAGTGGCTACAATTATTGCCATGAAACCCTTTTTTCTTTGCAGCCACTAAAACCAGAGTGAATTATTCACCAAGAGCACTCAAAGCAGTTGCGATTGACCTTTATGGTTCGTTTGTATTCGTGACTAACAAGTGATTTTTTTGACTGAATCATGAATGCAATCATAGAATTTCTCAACAAAAGAAAAAAAAGGTTGTGATTCTAATTATGGTATAATTATAATTATTAATTATATAAACAAAGTATCGATATGCAAGCAACCATTACATAAAGCTTCTCTCTTTTCTCTCCAACCAAAATTAATTTTTTTAAAACTCTCTAGTTTCAATCTTCCCCCATGGCCAGAACATTATAATTACAACTGCTTCCTGCAAGTAAAAATCTTAATACCCTTTCATACAAAGAAGAGACAGAGAGGTAATGCATGTCTATTTCTTAGTTCCCTCTTCTTCTTTTTTTTAATTACCCAATTCAATTGGATAATGTCATTTTCAACTTTCACATAATTTAAGAAGACGTACGCCGAGAAGAAAACTGAACGAACAGTAAAACCAGATTAGATGTGTCCGTCCATACATATACATCCATACATACTTTTAAAAAAGTCTTGTAAAGTAGGGTTTTGCAAATAAAGAATATAATAAACACAGAGAGAGAGAGAGAGAGAGAGAGAGAGAGAGAAAGTGTCGGTGGCACTTATTAAGCTTATAACAGACAAACCGGGGGGCAGGCAGCCTCCACTGTGATTTTCTTCCAGAGCGCGCTCTCTCTCTCTCTCTCTCTCTGAGTCTCTCTAAAACCATTTCTCCATCTGCAAGAAATTACGTGGGTATATGTAGCAAGTGAGAGAGGGAGAGAGATCATCAGAGTGTATGTGTGAAAGAGAGAAGGGTGCAGGTCTGGCAGGGCAAAGGAGCATAGCGATTAGAGTGAGTAGTGGTGGTGGGGGGTATAACAAGAAAAAAATCAAAGGCAGAAAGAAAGTAAAAGTTATCAAAGAAAGGTTGATGGATTTTTGGCACAAGATGATCTTCCCTGTCCGCCGCGTCTGGCTTACTGTCTCTGCTCGCATCAAAGCTCGCAAAAATGGTCAGTTCACAATTTTTTCTTTTTCTTCTGCTCCATATATATAATATCTCTGTTTTTATTTATTTTGTTATTTCTTTTATACATGCCATGCCATCTTCTCGATAATAACATTCGGATGTCCGGAGAAAATACATACAACATAATTTAATCTCTATTTGTTTTCATTAAGAAGCAAAGTTTTAGTTTCATTTCTCCCTATCAATAACTCTTCCTTTCTTTGTGATTAAACAAGCTCTCCAATGTTGATCCATCAGTGATTCAGTGCTGCATTTTTTTAATAAAATTTTTGCTACATCATTAAATGGTTTTTTTTATTTATATAATTTTTTTTTAATAGGCTAGATCCCACCTCTCTCTCTCTCTCTCTCTCTCTCTCTCCCCCCATGATCTCCAGCCACCACATATCATTCCCTACTTCTGGAGTTGTGGTCCCTTTCTGTATCACCCATATTTAGAATTATTTTAACAACACTTGTACATCATTAGCCACATAGCAGTTTTCATACTTCAATCTTTGATTTCCCTCATTCAAAACTAAAGTCGTTTTCTTTGATCCGACTTGAACTGATACATCTTTTCCCTCCCTGTTTTCTTTATACATTTTTTAAAACATATGTAGTTTACCCTTACAAGCAACCGATTTTACAATTTGCATCTCCTTTTATTTTACTACAAGGTCAAATTTATCTAAACATGTATATTTTATCAATATTGTCGGTGCTTGAGTAATTGAATTTGTCTGTAACCAAAAAAAAAAAGTCAAAATCAACGATCGGTTTCGTTTGAAAATATTTAATCCCAACTGCCGATTGATGACCCTGCATGAGAAAAGTCTTGCAAGATTAAATAAATTTGAAGACTCATGAGTCATACCTAAAAAGTACGAGTGTGGCTTTTTTTTACCCCTCTAATTTTTAATAATTAATTAAGGGGGCTCACAGAAAAATAATTAATTTAGTGGTGCTGGTTATTGGAGATTACTTTTAATTCATTTTGCCAAAAAAAAAAAACAATAGTATTTTCTTGTGATGTGCTGCTTTTTCATTTGAGCTCACATCATCATTGGCCTCCCCACTCATCAAGTTGTTTCTTACCAAACCTCCACAATTCTCTAGTGAATGCTTACAAGTTGAAGTTGGCGTAATTTGTTTGCTAGGCGCAGGATTCATTGAATTATTGTAGATGCAAATTCATCATTTTCTAAATGACTTTGAATTGTTGATTGATATGCGATTAACATAAAAAGACTATACAATTCACATTAGTCAACGATTATCGACACCTTACACACGTAGATATATAGGCCACTTTTTCATGCATTTCTTTTTTTGCCTAATTATGAGCCATGGTTATAGTATTTTTTTAGATTTACTGTTATAAATTTAAAATAACTGATAATTTATCCAAGTTTAATATACCTTGCCATTTGAGAAAACAAGCTTTGATTCCATCATGTGAGGAGTTTCTTTCCACCACCACCACCACCACAACAACAACCAATGATGAATTCAACCAAACCTTTCAAATAGTTATAAAAACAGAGTTTTTTTGTTTTGTTTTCTTTGTTCTTTTCTGTAATTTCTTGCAAATAGGCCCAAAAGAAAAAGAAGATTGGCACATGGATTATTGAAAGATCCCATTGCTGGTGCGCTATCCACTAGAGTAAATTAAGGCAGGCCGAAGTGTGTGTGATTGTACGGAATTTCCTAATTAGTGATTAACTCCTGCCATTCAAATTGATGGACAAGGGGTTTGTAGCGAAAGTGATTAAAATCATTTACCCCTGTATCTGAGATCTTAGGTTCGATTTCTCTCTTCCTCAATATCTCTCTCTTGTATAAAAAATTTATAAAAAAAAAAGAATTGATGAACCTACTTTAGGGACCATCCAATTTCTATTTTACAAAGTAGTCACCAATCTTCTGTTTTGTCTTTGGGTCGAAAGCTGAGGGGTTTAAAGAGATAGGATCAACATCTTTATTGATGCAACTTGATGTCGACCAGATCACTAAAATAGTGGCCTGACAACAACCTCAACATATTATTCTAATCACTATATCTTGAGCATGAAATTTCCCACACCAAAAAAATATCATTGTCGACGGTTGATGATGTTGTTTGAACCACTAACATCTCTGGCACTTGGAAGCATCTTGTATCAGATATATCACATGATATCCCAACTACCTGGGACATCATTATGATAAGTGTCACATTATTTCTTTGGTTGGTCAATAAATTAATGGCTAACATGGGTTCAATTAAGTTGATTTTCTAGAATCTATTCTAACTTTTTTTAATAACAGTCCATGTGGGTTAAATCAGTTGGTCAAGACAGTGAACCCGCTTCCCTTTCACCAAAGTTCTTAAACTGTACATATCAAAACACGAACGATTTAGAATACTTATCAAGAAACTAATCTGTGGTTGCTATAACTCTTTGGCTAAGAAGGGACACTTTTCTTTGGATACTTGTATTTGGTTTAGAATCGCATCTCATCTCACAAGTCTTGTTTTGGAGCAGGTGCTGGCCTTTTGAAGCTTCATGACGATGTACAAACTTGTGGATATCAAGATGTGCAGGTGATGTGGCAGATGCTGAGCAGAGACACTGAGCTGACAAGTCACCATTCCAAACGCAAACAAAGACCCTTCTGGAGAGTTTTTGAATTTTCTAGCAACAATAGTAAACCCTCACCACTCTCTTCAAATCATGCATGAAATTAAACAGTCAGATACTATAAAAATAGTGACAATTAATAATGTGTTGCTGCTGTCCCCGAAAAAAAAAGAAAAAAAAAAGACATTTGGCATCATATTTTTACTGTCAAATTGCTACAAGACTTACAGTGGCGTATGGTACACAAGCTGTTGCAGGTGTCAAAACTACACAGTGATAAAAGGTGAAATTGTGTACCTATTTTTACCTTTATTGTGTGTAAATTAGCACTATCAGAGATTACCCAAGTGATCATTTGTAAATATAAATAATGTTTTTCCATGAAAATCAGAAAAAGAAAAGCCAGATAATTCGAAAGAGCCTCCATATATATAGAGAGCTCATTTTTACCCATTATCATTTGTAAATATAAATAATATAAGTTGGTGGTTCTGAATTTCTTAACTGAGTTTGACTTGCATCATGTGTAATGAGGTTTGAAATTAGAATAATACTACTCCTACTACATTTGCAACAATAACAAAAAATCGTCAAAAACAATCAAACCATCTTCTTCGACGAGCGTATGTGGTAAAAGCGCATTTAAGAAATCACAATTTTTCCAAAAGGTTAAAAATGAAGAACATGTTATGCTGCTAACTTATCTTATTAATAGGATACAATCCATGAAATAAAAATGATGAAAACAGAAATAAATGGAGATATATAAAATTACATATCCTTACTAATATGTATATAATTACACATGCTACAAAATGTGTTACCTAAAATTCAGGTAAAGTAAAAGACGAGCACCATTGCTACATATGAGGGGTGTACTGAATTGGGGATTTTGGTGTGTTGTAAAGGAAGTGGTGGAACCCACATAAAGAAAAGAATGAAATAATATTCAAAAAGCTTAACAATGATGTTGGAGCTTAATGATGATGTTGGAAGCCATCTAATTTGCCTATAAATAGGCTTCCCATTGCTTAGCAAAACACACCAACGGAGAAGAGAGGAAAGAAAGAAAGCGAAGAAAGGAAGAGTGCGAGGAAAGGAGAGTGTGAAACCTAAGTGTTAGAGAGTTCTATTTGAGAGAATTCTATCAGTGTAAACATTAAAAGAGCAAATATAATACCACTCCCAATATTCAGTGGTAGTTTTCATACTCCGATTATTTTATTTTTATAACATGGTGGGTATTGTAACAAAAACGAAGTTTTCCTTTCAAGAAACCAAAAAGAACTACACTGCAGAAATATTACTTGCAAAACAAACTAAATCTTGGTGTTAAAATCTTGGAAATGACCACATCCACCGGGTGCTTGGTAACATTACGTTCCAAAGATAAGCCAGAGAATTACAAGAGTCATCCTTAGACGAGGGCAAAGAATACTCATTAACAGGAAAGAATACAATTGTATCAGAGAACAGTTTAAGAGAGGGAAGATTAAAAGGGGCCAGAAAACGAAGGGGGTACCAAAAGGCCTTCAGTTTTCTTCTTTTCATTTCTTCGGTATTAAGTCCCTATAGATGTACAAAATATTAACTAACTTTTCTTTAACTGCCTTCTTCTGTCGTCTTTCCTCAATCAAATGTCCAATGAAATCATTATAGACAATTCTGCTTACTGAATCTGTCATCCAACAAAAAGCCTGCCAAATCTAGAATGCATAGTGTGCCTGCAATGCATTCATTATAGTCATCATCACCACTTCATCACAAATGGAAACAAAAGAAGGAAAAAAAAAATACAAGCAAATTAAGAAGCTTGCAGGCAAAATTAAAATTTTTCGTATAGACAACTATTGTGGAAAGAGTTTTTTATTTTTTATTTTTTATAAAAAAGAAAGAAAAAAGAAAAGAAGCTGAAATCCAACTCATAAGAAAAAATAAATAAAACCAATGTACGGCCTTTTATAGTATAGGGCATGACCATTGGGGGCGGCGGGGGATTTCTAAAATGCCTACTTTATATACCTCAGCTGCAGATTGAGCAAGAATAACAATCTACAACCCTTTTCTTCCCTCAAATTAAAGATGACCTAATCCCGCTTTTCAAACCAAATGCATTTATAATTTCCAAATTAGGTAAACTATAGAACAAGTCTTAAAGTGGTCTAGCAGAAATTGTATTATGTTATAGAAATTTAGAACTTGCTAATGTATCAAAAAACTTAAACATTGGGTAGGTGTAATAAACTACCTGTACAAGAGATGCATCAAAATGGCTGATCACTTAACCGCCTTGCAGTACCTTACGTGGGTCAAGCTGTCCGCTGCAGTAACTGGAAGGGACAGCAGACAGTTCCTGCCTTCCCCTCCATTCTTCACCAGGTTTCAAAGTAATAGGCTTCTCCACACAAGCAGCCTCAACACAGAGCATATGCTTGTACTCATCATCCCCAAAATCAGAAATTGCCTTTGCTTTCTTATCCCACGGATTCCAGACCACTGCAATGGAAAAGGACCATCTGATAAACACTAAGGGCAAGTTTTGTTTTGTATGCCATAAGCACTTACGCGAAACATGCAGAAACTTCTATGTTCGCTCAATTGACTTGGTATCCAGCCACGGTTAAATAAACAGTAGCATTCACTTAACAAAATAATAAAAGACAGATTGGTTCTTTGTTAATTCTTTTAATGTTTACAATTATCATAACAGCTTGTCTAAACCCTATACACCTTCATCAAAGTACAGCCTTTATTCTCTTTGATAAGTTTCTCAACATAATATAGTTTTCTAGCAAAGAAAAATGAATGAACAAAAACTCACCAGCATCTGGAAGTCCGTCCTTCCGTAACACAAATGTTCTCTTCCTCTCATGGTCCAGAATAGCAATTTTTGTAGGCGTACTCAGATAAATTTTGTCCACCTTGACAATGAAAGTATCATTTAATAACAAATAAACATATATATAAGAACCAAAACAACAGTGTCAAAAATACAATGCATCTGGATAAGGACAAACACTAACTTCTGACTCGAATGTTATCGCATCCCCTTGCTCAGTAAATCGTTCTCTACCCTTCAAGTTGTCCAGATAATCCAGTGTCTCTAGTCCTTCCACTCGCACTTCACTAAACAAAGGCAACATGACAGTTAATGTGCAAACCACACAAAAGGAACACTTTCCAGCAATGGATTATGTAGATGCACATACAGGGATCTCCATTATGTATTTAACTAAAACTTCTGCTCACATTTAAAAATATCACAGCTAGAATGTGGGATGTGTTATTGCCCCTTCAAAAAAAAATTAAAAGATAATTTATTTAGTTTAATTGTCGACTAGACTATTTCTTATAATGCTAGAAATGGCATACAATGCAGATCAGAACTAAACAAAATCTGACGAATGTTACCCTAGAATATCATTTTACCATTCCATTTTCACAACCCGATTCTGAAAGGAATTATAACCTGGTGTTTTTAATAAATATATGGCTGAACTAATACTGGTTAAATAATGGCAAAGGCACAATAATAGCATATGTTTATGATGCTTTCCAGTCAAATACAGCTGCCCAGGAAACATGAATTTGATTATAAAGAATTCAAAACAATAGCAAGAAATTGCATCACTAAACCTGATATCAGTTACGAAAAGATAGGTGTGATAAGCGAATGTGAACGTAAACGACTTTCCATCAGTGTTTGTATTTCGGATGCGGGAAGTCAACATCAAATCCCCTCCTGGTCCCAGAGTAACCCTAAGGCGAAATTCATATCTGCAAGTGATTGCTATTACATCATTACTTGACCGAGCAAACAGAGAACCATGGGATTGCAACAAACATACATTAAAGCAAAAACAAAAAACAAAAAACAAAAATGATTAAGAACTGACATATTTGAAATCTAACACTTCGTAGAGCATAGAATTGCATTCTGATTAACTGATTGTGCAAAATTATAACACTAAAATCACATATGACGTTCTATGATATGTCTGTGCATGTATGCGTGTATAAACAGAAGCACAGATCTGGTATTTTCCTGTTCCAGCCACCATGGAAGCAATTACATGCTACCTTAGCTGAATTAAACATGTAATTATCAAATTTAAGTCCACTACCTGTGTGACCAGATCTTTGAATCCTCTTCAGAGGGTTTAAGGATTAAATCAATAAAAGCCTTGTTGCCGCTATTTGTTGGAAATGGAGGGGGATCATGATCAATACTCCAAAACCTATTCCTTGCAAATCCATGTTGTTCAAGAGAACCATGACTTCCAAACTGCATGTGCCAACTAATTATTATTTAAATTAAAAAAAAATAAAAATACTAACCAAAGCAAATAAAACAGAAGATAAAAGATGAGAAACTCCTACTTGCGGAAAGCAGATTGGAATTCCTCCACGGATAGCCTTAGGGGACTTAAAAGTAGCCTGCAAGAAATATGCATACATTTTAGAAAAGGAGGGGGAACACATACTGAAACAATCTTAAGGCCTAAAAAAGATCAGATTATGTTATCTCATCCATATGTTCCTCAACAATCATTCTCCTAATATCCATCATCTGAGTTTGTTCCTTTTAGTTCTATGTCCTCTCTAAGCTTTAAAGCCAGCCACGGAGCTACGAATGCAACAGGGCTACTAAGCAAGATTCCCCATATAATTTTAATTAAGGTTTTTTAGGTTTTAGACATAAATTTTTTTTCACTTTTGGAAAAAGCCAAAGCTTTTTCAAAAAAGACAAAAAAACCACTCAACTTTCAAATCAAAGACATGCAAATGTATTGGATTTCTTAGGAAATCTTAAAAAAAATAAGGGCATTTTTGTCCATTTTTGCTTCTTTTAAAATTTTTCTCTCTCCTTTTGCTTTTTCCAAAATGTCCCTTTTAATTAGCTGTCCACATTTAAATTTTTTCTAAATTCATTTGGGACATAATAAAGAAAGAAGTTTGAAATCATCAATAGAATGACAGGTCAAGCTACATCAAGTTTGCGTTCTACAAAAAGGCTGAAAGAGCACTTCTTAAAAGTGGGTTATCAGGTTCAAGCTATAACTATGGCATCGATTGCTCCAAGAGCTATAACTCTGCAAAATGACTTAACTGTTTAATAACATCTGTGACAATATACTTATCTCATTTAAATAGTTTTCTCACAATAATTAACAGCTGAAATGTAACTTGCGTGTGTGCGAATAATATCTAACATGCACGTTTTGTTTTCCTAGTCCCTCGTGTGACTGAAAACCAATCAATAGCATATGAATAACTAGAAGTAACTTCAAGAAAAGTTATTAGTTATGTAAAGATAAACAACTTCCGTGCAACATCTCTACCAAAATGTGATACCTTGCTACTAACAAAAAGCAACTCTTCCCCATATTCATTTTTCCATGATGTAACTTGACCGCCATACAAATACACCTGTTTCAAAAGTACAAAAAATATTCATTAGTAATCTAAGAATTAGCCTTAGATGTCAAACTTGAGGACTCATG